CGGCACCACGGTTCTCCTCCAGCCAGGGTGTTGGCACTCCTTCCTCTGTAGGTTGAGACGTGCGACTTTTGCCCAGTACTGCCATTCTTGGGATTTCAGGGAAGAGCTTTTACACAGGTGTAATGCTCAAACCTTCCCTCCCCTGCCCTGCCCTCACTGCTAGTTTTTCACATCACTGATAGTCAGAGAACAGATTCTAGGTTGACCTGAAGGCAGACATACCTGTAGGATTAGCTCTTGTCCTGGCTCATTCGAGGCTGAACTGGAGTCCAAAAGTTGCAGCTCATGTAAGACCTTAAAATTTTGCACAAGACCATTTTCTAATGTGTTTGTGGGTATTTTTTGCAGGGTGTACTTATCCTGCAAGATGTGTACAGAGCAACATTGCAGTATTCCATCCCCAAGGAATCCTCCGAGCGGCAGTCTAAAGCATCACAAGACTGGTTTTGTATCAGGGTAAGAGACCTCTCTCTCTTGACAAACACAAAATTTCTTTGGAAAATATAATGCTCTTTTATGAGAAGATTCTAACACACAATTTGTATTCGAGCATTTGATTTTGTGTAAATGTAGTATAGCTCTCATTTCTCCCTTTATTTCTTTACTCAGTGTGGTGCTCACAACTTCAAGCGTCGTGATTCCTGCTTCAAGTGCTCGGCCCCACGGCACGAGTCGGAGGCTGGTGAAGAAGGCAGTGATGAAGTGTGTACCTACCCAACCAATAGTAAGTACCCTGACTAGCATTCAGTGGAAAAGGTGATCACTAAGCAGACAGATCCATTTATTATCAAGCAGGGGTAATGAAATGCAAGCTCTAGTAAATATGTGATGAAGGTAGGATTTATACTTTTTTTCCTTTTCAGCCTTGCTCCTGCGTGGACTGGATGTGCTAAGTACAGAGGAGAGTGTTCTTCAAGGCATCCAGCATGTGGGAAGTGACCTGCCCATTAGATCTGTGCGAATAGGGAGGGACCCCCTCACCAACACCTCTCGGGGGGTGTGCTACATTGAGCTGAATTCTGTTTTAGACTCAATGCAGCTGCACAATAAGCTTGCTCATGCACCTCCCACTATTGATGGCAAGCAGGTAATGTACCCTAAATTATAGATCATGATTTATGTCCTGTTGCTATCAAATCTATATGATCAAGTATGAATTGATGCTGATTTTTCTATCTCCATTACAGGTCACCATATCCTACTGCAAACTGAACCCAAATAATGGCAATGGTAATGACTTCCCCATTCTTGTTTTTCTCCAATATTTCCCCTGTCAATGAGGTTCTTGATCACAAAAGATTCAATAACTATGACTGCTTGTATAATATGACTTTAATATTTCATAGGGAAGGTAATCTTGATATCATTTCAGGTAATAATTGGTCAGCACAGCAGCAGCAACAGCAGCAGTACCATCAGCCTGCAGAGTATACTGCAGGTGCTGACATCAAACAGCTCGCAGAGTATAGTGCCTCTTTGTATGCCCAAACCCCAGAGGAGCATGCGTCCTATGTCCAGTATTACACCATGTACTACCAACAGCAGGCACAGGTACTTCGGACTTTGGAATTAGGTTTTCTACATAGGATCAAGAAGGAAATTTAATTTTGTTTGTAAACATAAGCTTAATGCAACAGTGGATATTTGATTTTTATAACAGCTTTTTGAATTGCTGTCATTCATTTTGCAGGCCTATCAGCAGAATCAACAACAACAAGGCAGTTCAAATCAGTCTGATTCAGTCAATGCTGCTGCTGCAGTTGCGCAGTCTGCACTTCAAGCGATGCAGCAAAAGTCGGCAGCAAATACCTCAACAAGCGGTGCAGCGGCCGTTGCAGCGGCAGCAGCACAGAGCACTTACAGCACTCCTGCCACAACGGCACCAACAACCTCTGACCAGACAGTGACACAAACTACGCCCGGCTCTGCCAATTATGACGGAGTTCAGCTTCAAACTGGAGAATATCCCACTTACCGTAAGTTGGAGTGAGCTGTTCGGGTAGCTTAAGTGTTCAGTCCAGAAGAAAAATTGGAAAGAGGACAAGGAAAAGGGATGGCAAATGAACACATTTATGTATTTGTTTTTATTATTATTTATTATATATATATTTTTCAATTTTCAGCTCCTCCTGATGTCAGTACATACCAGTATGATGAAACCTCTGGTTATTATTATGATCCTTCCACCACACTGTACTATGACGCCAGCAGCCAATACTACTACAATGCTGAGAGTGGCCAGTATCTCTACTGGGATGCAGAGAAGTCCACTTACCTCCCAGCGCCCGTCGGGGAGGATGGCCACGAGGGCAAGAAGGGGGATAAGAAAGAGAAGGAGAAGGATAAGCAGGACAAGGTTGGTGAACACTCTTGGAGACATGTCGTGATTGTAGAGGTGGTGTTATCGCTGTTGGGATGGCTCATGGGCTTTACTAATTTGTGAATATTGATGTGTTTTCAGGTTAAAGTTGCAAAGAAGATTGCAAAAGATATGGAAAGGTGGGCTAAGGCTCAGAATAAGAGGAATGAAAGTGCCATAACAGGAAAGGCTGCCACAGCGGAACCTGCTGGAGGTTCCCGTGAAGGAAGTGGAACGGGGGCTGCAGATGCTGCCTTTGCCGTGCTTTTGGAACGAAGAGACCGCGCTTCACTTGTCGAGAAGCAATCTCAGGTCTTCCAGATGCACATGAAGAAGGATTCGGCACCAGTAAGTGTGATTTTAAAACAGGATCTTTGTCAGACACATTAAATTGTTGAATCAACGCTAACACTTGCAGTGTGGAAGTATTCTCAAAGATAATATTTCACCAGGTTCTGGCAAGCATGAAGAAATCAGGCCTTGTGGCAGCATATGGAGGAGAGGGCAGTGACAGCGAAGAGGAGTCTGGGGCTGGCCTCGGGGGCATGGGTGGAGAGGAGAGACTAGAAGAGAAACTGGTTGACTACACAAAAATGGCTTGTCTCCTGTGCAAGAGACAGTTCCCCAACAAAGAGGCTCTGGGCAGGTAAGGAAGACTAGAGGGCAAAGGTGTTGTGTAGCACAGTTTCCTTGTTCTTTGTCTTATTGCAAGTTGGTTATTCAGTTTTGTCATCTACATGTGAGTCCTGTCTTCATAAGAGAAAGATGTTTCTATAAGTCATTAATTTTATTTTGCAGACACGTTCAGCTCTCAGACCTGCACAAAACCAACCTGGAAGCCATGAGGAAGTCGAGAGGGTCGGGTGATGGTGCAGGTGGACTGGGGGGAATGACTGCGGCCCAGTACAGAGACCGAGCCAAGGAGAGGCGGCAGAAATATGGAGAGCCAAGTGTACCTGCGCCCAACAAACTCAAGGTTCATAATAGACGAGGGTTTTCTTGAGAGTAATTCTTACTTATTGGATGGTGACAAGTGGTTGGTTAAGATATCAATCTCTTATATTTGACTGTTTTATGCATGATAATATTTCTGTGAATTATATAGTGGTGAAGAATGCTTCTGTACTGATTATAGCAAGGAAAAACTTAGTTATGAATGGATGATTTTATTATTTAACGCGAAGCTGCCTCCCCCAGGAACGTTACATGGCCGCCCGGGAAGAGGTCGAGGCCACCAAGTATGAAGAGCCAACCAAACAGGGCATTGGCAGCGACAACATCGGAAACAAGCTGCTGAAGAAGATGGGCTGGACCGACGGGCAGGGGCTGGGCAAGGCGAACCAGGGCCGGACATCCATCATCGAGACGGAGAGAAGGGTGGCCACTGCCGGCCTCGGGATGCAGGGCAGCACCTACAGCGTGGTCGGGGACAGCTACAAGGATTGCGTCAAGAAGATGATGTTCCACCGGTACCAGGAGCTCGACGCCCAAGAAAAATCTGTCAAGAGCTGAGTTGTCTGGGGGTGTGACAGGTGGCGAAGTAGCAGGTTCTGTTAGTGTCTTTCAATTTTTACCGATGTGTGCATCTTTGAGCAAGATGATATGTATCGAGACCTTTTATATTTCTCACAGTTAAAGACCGGTACTCTGAACAGTTCCAGGTCTTGTTCCTTGATCACATCTGTCTTGTTTTGCCTCTTGTATTGCTGTAAGTGATTTTTTTCACTGGTTTTATTCCTTCTTACGGGCTGCTAGTAATTAAAACTGAATTGTGACTTCTTACTTCACTCTAATACACCTGTATACGGATGTGGAATCTTTCTTGCAAGTTCCATCACAAATTTCACATGTATATATATTTACACCTGATGGCTCTTTGAGGCGAGGATAAAATTGACCTTTGTAGGAGTAGAACATCATTAATACATGTTACAAGTGCTGAATGTACAATGAAGTTACCGCCACGATAACTTGGACGAGTAAAGTAGCCCGTGTAGAATTGTGTATATAATGACCACAAATTCCAGCGTGATGTCACAAGTGTGTGCGTGTGTGTGTGTTTGTGCTGGAGTCGTATACAAAAACTTATTATGTTTTGTGATAATTATTTTTCAATAGTTAACTTTTGTAGGCATTTTGGGATAGTCCGTGATGTTCTGTCATTTATGAATGACACAAATACTGTGTAGCTTGTTTATAAGACTTCTTTATATATTTTGTGAGATGCTACATGGAATAAATGTGTATAACATGTTACTTGTTTTAAATCGACCTTACAGGGAAGAATTAGGCTTGGAAAACAAACAAACCAGTAACTGGGTGTATATTTAGCCTAAACATTTGTTACCAATACATTTTTATGAAACTGGCGATTCCACACAATGTAACAAGAAAAGGCTAATTCACACAGACTTGCCACAAAAAAGAATCGGACCCTCTGCATTTTGAAAACGAAAGACTTCTCAAACTTTCTATACGTCTCGGAGGGAAACTCTTAAGGCTAAGACGAGGTGAACCTTCCTACATGTACTAATTTACTTCCCAAATGTAAACATATCACTTATTTACTTCCCAAATGTAAACATATCAGTTCATCGAAATCACAGATATTCCAATGAGCTTTAAAGGAAAAAAAAAAACATTTTGTTAAGGCACAATCGTGAATCCACCGTGTGAGACGTAGAATAGGGTGGTGAGAAAAGCCGTGGAGAAATGTTCACTCATGTTCGTGGCAAATTGTGCTGTCAGGGTTAACTATACCTCGCTTTTTTTATACACAAGCTCGTCTCGTAGAACCTGTCAACATGAGCGGTCATGATTGGCAGACACTTGTAGAGATTAAGTTACAGGCGGTGAATATTCATTAAAGTTTTTTTTTTTCCTGTGGGCTTTCTCGCCTGTGACGTCATTATGGAACCCGCCGATCATACCCACTGGAGTGGAAAGACCCTTAAAGTAAGAGCTACGGGAATATTCTTTTAAATAAATAAAACTTACAGCGATACAGAGATTTTAGCTTTTCACGTGTAATTTGAGTCCAAATTTATCAAAATCTCAAAAAGGAAATACGCTTCAATTACCTCCTAGGTAAATGGACGTAAACATGAGTTAAACAGTAAGAGCCAGAGTCCGCCGTTCGTGTAAGTTCTTATTCGTCTCGTGGACCGTTATATGCAACCCCCCTCCCTCCCTCCCTTTTCTTAAAGTACAAAGAAGAAAATTATAACGCACAGTGCCCTGGATTCTCGTCAATGCCGCCATCCTTTTTGACATCGACTTAACCGCGAATCAAAAAATTCTTTACCTTTTCTGTTTTTTATTTTATTCTTTTTTCATTTCTTTCTTTTTTTTGGTCCGTAGTCTCACTTGGTTCTACCCGCCTTACGCCTTCGAGTAGTGCTTGCTGACCTTCGTGCTGCAGATGTTGAAGAGAGGCGAGTCGGTTCTCGTGCAACACAGGCAGAAGAGGATCACGAGCACCAAGCCTTGATAAAAGACAGGGGATTAGAGAGACGAGAGACGAGAGACGTGAGACGAGAGACAGAGACAGAGAGAAGAATAAATAGGGGAAATGAACAAGGAGGTGATTAATATTTAATATCATCATGAATGTTTCTTAGGGATTCAGATAATTAGGGCTGAATTATACAAGGAGGTTTGCTGTGTATGGTGTCAATATCAGTTTATGGTTAGTTGGTAAAAAATGGGTTCTATTTATTCAAAAAAATGTATTATTTATTCATAACAAATATGCAAAGGAATTGAGTTACAAAAGCGAAGTGGATAATAGATGTTTAAAGCAAGATATTTTAGATTTGATATGAAAGATCAATATTGCATTTATTTACACTCTTAAATCAAACAAGCTGAGAATAGTGATCCTAAAAAGTAAGGACGTATGATCAGGAATTTAACCGCAAATTTATTGCGATGATAACGAAACTAAGAAAACAGTGAAAGAAAAACTATATAAACGAAAAAACTAAACAAACAAACGCAAAATATGTTGCAAAGGAGCTTCCTCACCGCCCACGGAGGGGATCGTGACCACGAAGAAATAGTTGAGCTCCGTCTCGTCCTGCGGCACCACGACCTCCTTGAGCGGGGCGTCGTTCCGGATGCAGCGCCACTCGCTCGGGAACCCGACCCAGGTTTTGTTCACGCACTCCACTTGGGGGTAGTAGCCGTTGTCAGACCTGCTCGAGGAGAGTGAAGGTGTCAGGCTGTGTGCGCGCTGTGCAGGACTAGGGGATAGCAATCGTTGTTCGATATATATGTGATGATGTATTGCATGTATTATACTATGTTTTTTTCTTATTATTATTTTCATGACTGTGATTCAATCTTTGATGTTTGTTCATTTCTGTGACAGTGATAAAGATAAATATATAAAGAAACAAGTGTGTGAAGGACACTTTCACTCTACGGACTTTCTCACCATATTTAAATATCCAAAGAATTTCGTCAGTCATGATGGTAATTATATATACAAATAAAAAATCATTAAAGAAAGAAAGAGAGAAAAAAAATCAATCAGAAACACAAACACCAATAACCATAAAACAGAAAGATAACAAGATATACTGAAAGCCAATGAAGACGTGCCCCCAGTCAGAAGGAAGAACTTACTTGTAGCCGTCGATGCAGCCGTAGACGGCCTTGGCCCCCGCGCCCCGCTGCTGGTTCCAGTTGATGGAGCCGTGGTCAGGCACCTGCGGCGGCGACATCAGGCACCCCGTGTGCTTGCAACTGGACAATGCAAGCGGTATTTCGAGAAAGACATAAGCAACCGTTATCTTTATTTCGTTTAGCACGGGTTATGGTAATTTTGGGTTTGCTATTAAAAGTATATGGTTAATACTGTTATTGATATACATGACGTTAAATTTTCGGCATTTGTTCTAAGTTGATATCGACCAATTCCTAGCATTGTGATTCTTACACCTATTTCAAATTTCCGCTCCTATCACAGGCACTACTGGCTCCGTTCATGTTGATGTTGCGACCATACCATCACCACTAATGGTAATGGGAGTGATGACAACGGCATAATTAACTAATGCATTATTATAACAAAATTCGTTTCGGTAACAATCATAATCAGTGATAATCCATTGCTGATACAAGATTATTACAAACCATCATCATTATGTCATCATTATAATAATAATCATCATATCAATGTTATTATCATTATCATAATCATCGTCGCCATCATGATTATTACTATCATCATTATCACTATCCTCACTATCAACATTACAACTACAAACACTGCCATTATCGCTATCACCACCGGCATAGCTCCCAGGGGCGAAAACCTTCCCACCGCCTTGTCAGAGAAACGGCTACTTACCTCGTCCAACCACGCTACTTAGTGAAAACGATTCCTAACTTGCAAATATCTACTTACTTGAAAAAAGGAAGATAGACAAATGAGTACTTATTAAAAGGATTACCTAATGAATGAAAAGAAAATATTCACTTAAAATACTTACTAGAAAGCAAAGATATAAAGAAAAAAAATGCTTGCTTAACGCAGCTATTTGCATATTCCTATTTTATGATAAAATACTTACAATTACCTACTTAAAGAATGAAGTAATTACTAACAAAAAACATTCTTGCTGCATGAGAAAATACTAACGAACACCTACTTACTCCATAACAATATCACTTAAAACCACCACTTAATGAGAAAAAAAAAATCACATATTAATAAAAAAATCAAAATAATTCTGGAAATTATTACCTACAAAACACCTGCCTACACCTACTCCATGAAAAAAATACTTACAAATACCTACTTACTTGAGCACGGGCGTCGCGGCCTCCCAGACTCCGCCGTTACACTTGGACATGGCCATCTGAGTGTTGGCGTCCCTGGAGCAAAGGAGGGAGAGAGAGAAATGTTGAAACGCGTCGGGAGATAGGGAGAAGTGATGTGAGGCGTGAAGGGCAAAAGTTAGAGGAAACAGTGAGGGTTGGAATGCATCTACGAGGGAGGAAGGGGGGGGGGGCAGGGAGGGAGAGAGGGAGAGAGAAAGAGAAAGAAAGAAAGAGAAAGAGAGGAAGAGGAAGAAAAAGAGAAAGAGAAAGAGAGAGAGAGAGAAAGAATACGTGAATTCTGAAGTTTGACTGAGAGTTTCTCTCTCTCTCTCTTTCTCTCTTTCTCTCTCACTTTCTCTCTCTCTCTCTCTCTCTCTCTCTCTATCTCTCTCTCTCTCTCTCTCCCTTCCGCATCCGGGCCTTTGACATCCGGTTCCTTTCCCATCCGGGCACTCACGAGTAGGCTTCCTTGCACGTGTAGGCCACCGACATGCCGGACGGGTAGATGCCCGGCTGCCACGTGTGGATGGCGTTCTCGGGGGCGGCGGGCGGCTCGTCCTTGCAGTCGGGCTCTGTCGGGGAGAGAGAGGGAGCGATTTGAATGGCCTGTGACTTAAGCGCATCAACTGGTCTTTTATCATTCACGTATTATTTCATATCTGGTTTCAGGTTGCCTC